TTTCCCGCAAAAACAGGTCTTAAACCTAGTTCTGGATGAGTTATCACCTAGCGAGTGAGAGCGATCTTAACACATCTTCTTCGTGGAATGTAAACACACTGTCATATCGGGTAATTAATCTGTGATTTAGAGTGCCAACCATTTTCTTTCTTCATGAAGCACGAGTGATTGTGAAGCCAGGCAAATGAAGGCCACGTGGACGCCATTGATTAATACATGAGGAGCGCATGTGCTTCTCATTCTGAAATAAAATGTAAATCAATGCTTGGAAACCGGTACCAAGTGAACTCCTTTAGCATTCTTTCTACTTTCTATATAAAATGTATAAACCAAAAACAACAACGAAAGTGTGTCAAAAGTGAATTCCTTTCATACATAAAACCCACTAACATCTCATACCACTCAAACATAATACAGATTAGTGGTAAATCATATTAATGAAAAATATCACCAATGCTGTATCCCTTACTTTGAGAATGGATTGTTTACATACTTGTCTATTTAATACATTTTGTGAAATAAACAAAAGTAAAGAAACCCCATTTTGTTAATTCAACACAATGCAAAATAGCAGTCTATCCCATAAGGCTTTCATAAGAGATATATTTAGCTACAAATTGACAAAATCTCACATGTAAAGGAAGAAAGTGATTTGCAATTCATATTAGCTGAATGTTCTGCAACTTATTTCTTACACACAAAGACCTGATTTTTCAAATGTTCTACCATACCACTTTTCTATCAGTCAGATACTGTAAAGGGGAAATAAAATGGTAGAGTGCTTTCCAGGATAAACCAATGAAATATAACAATGAAAACAAGACCAAAATAAAACTAAGAAATCACAGGAAGAGAGACACAAGAAGGGAAAACACAATAACCTCACTATCAAAAAACTCAGGGACATATCCATTGTGTGGGGAGGGGGATGTAGGTGGTATGTGACTCCCTCCCTCTCCCCAATAGAATTACAACTTTCTTCTTTTTTGAAGGGTCAAAATCCTTTCAGATTTTACTTCCTCTGTTATAATAATCTTGGATCCCCACTTCAATGAAAATATATAAAAAACAACGGTTACAATCATTCTGAAACCCATGAAAAAAAGAGAGATGATAAAATTGGATTTTTAAACAAAGATTTTGAATGTATACAAAACAGATAAAGGAAAAGTAAGAATGATAACGCAAATACAAAAATAAAAGAAAGAAAAGGCCAAGAGAACAAAAGAAACGATAAAATCCTGGAACAATGGAGTTCAACATGTGAAGAGCATGTGAACTTGGCCCACTTATTAAAAAGAGCGCAACTTCAAGGCTCGTATACAAACTGTCAAAACACTTTTCATGGCCCAAGAACGCCCCTATAAATCAACTTCTCGATTCTGATCACTTTTCAAAACGTTTGGCGCATTCCTAAACCTAGATTGATGATTTCATATCCGGAGTGTCTATTTATTCAACTTCCATTTCATCATTTTGATAGATTTTACTTTTCTTTCCTTTTACCTGCTAAAAGGCAGCATCGCATCTGCCTTTCAAAGACACCTTCAACAAATTCAAGTCCTGCAGTACAGCAATAAGTTCACCATTCTCCAAAACTTCTTATCAAGTTGTTGGCCTTATTATGAACCATCGAATCCATACAGTAATATATATGACCGACTCGACAGTTCATAATATCGTGGACCAAGAGGAAAAAGATTGAGGAAGTTGACCACCTCACGTTTATATGAGCATTTAGGAATAACTTTTCCTAATAAGAATCACACATCTAATATAAACTTTGGGAAATCAATTAAATCTTGTGGCATGGCTGGCTCATATACTTTATGGTAATAATAAATACAGAGTGGGAGAAATAATTTCCTAGAAACCATAATGGAATTACCTCTTGTATTTTGATAAAGAGTTAATACCTGTTCGGCTCTTAGCAGAGGAATACGTGCGAGTAGACATTGAATGGCTAAAAGTCAAGATGTACGTTCTAGATCATTCGCGCCATACACTGAGGCCTGTCTTCATCAGCTCAAGTTTGCCAAATAACCCGCTATTTTCAGACTCTGGATATTATCCCGAAGCTTGAAATTGCGTCTTCACCAGACAGACACGCTCATCACAAACTAGCTCGGATGGGCGCAAATTAGCCCGCTATTTCCAAAATATCCCGCTATTTTGGAAACAAGACCAAGATTTCTTGGGATATATTCTCAACCAAATATCCAGCTAATTGCAACTGCGGGCTGATGAAGACGCAAATTAGCTGGATAATGTGCGATCGGGATATTTAAAATAGCAGGTTATTTGGCAAACTCGAGCTAATGAAGACAGGCCTACTGAGGGTTTTTAACCGCCTTCCATCGATCCTTCAAGGGGACAAGTTTTATCTCTTTTCTCAGAATTATGACAGACAGACAGAATTCCACCCGAACCACATTCCGCTTAATCTCCCCCCATGACATCTTCATGCTACGTTTATTTTCCTTGCCGTTCAACTTGGAATAGTTGGACAAATTATGACATCTCCAAACACCAACATATCTCAACTCTGTACAAACCAAAAAGAATTTAGAGATTGGATTCGAAGTACAAGAGGAGATCCCTTTTTTCACTTCTGTAGGATGTGGTCTATACTACAAGCACACGACACTCAAATTTAAATTTGGGAGATAGAAATCGACTAGCCACTTACTACATTCAAACAAAAATCCATACACAATTTGAACTCAAGGATTTACAGAGCAAGCAACATATTTGTGTAGATATTTATAATAAGCACCTTTCTGTCCACAGCACCAACGTAAAGGCCTGAATGTGAATTCGGGCCAATAGGTCTGAAAACCAGAAAACTCTTCTTTTTTTTTGGGGGGGGGGGGAGGAATTATGAAGGGCAATTTTCCACTACTGAAATACATTTGACAACTGTATGTGTTGTATAAAAAATAGTTCTTTAGAAATACATGTACCCTCTGATATACACTGATGTACAATAAATCTGACAAAGATTCCCAACACCCTACAAGCACAAATGTCTTGCCCTTCACCCATCTGAAAGCGCTTAAGACCTTGATGGACCCACAATGACACTCAGAAAGTCGTCCTAACAGAGAGGGACTTTACTGGGCCTACCCATCTGGATCTGATGTAGTGGCGGGATAATCCAGGGGATTAGCTAATCTGGGGCAGGTTCTTTCTCTCTCCGTTTGGGTGAATCCCGTGGAGGCGGGCGGGCGGGGTGAGAGGGCCATGCAGAGATGAGCATAGATTATTGTCCCCGGTGTCATCCGCCCATCATCACGTTACCAGCAGTGATGCGCTCCTGTCAACACTCTTTGGGTGTATCTCTGGGTCAGGTATGATAGACAGTGGTATAACCATATGTAAAGGTAAGGGAGGGGAGGGGGCGGAGATTGGGGGTGGGTTGATGGTGACGGGCCATATGTGGGGGATGTTTCACAAAATCCTAAGTTGAACTTATCTCTAAGTTGGACTTAAATATGGAAAGCCATTAGCATCATTAAAAATATTTTGTAAAAGTTATATTTAAAAGGCATAAAATATTGATTTATATTTTCTATTATCATGGGAGATTTCATGTTCTTGATGTGGAATTTATGAAAAGTCTAAAATACTTGAATTTTGGCTTTTGAAGATATTTTATTATAAGGCTACAAATGGCTCTCCATAATATTTGAGTCCAACTTAGAGTTGAGTGCGACTTAGAATCTTTGTGAAACACCCTCATGGACCCTAAAATCCATTTTAGATCTCAAACTGTTAAAGATGGAAATGGGAGCTTGCATGGTGCACACAAAGACTAACACTCTTTTGCTCTGGATCCCTATGGCTATGGGAAAGAAAAACAAATGTGTGGAATTCTGGTGTGGTGTCAATGATAAAAAGATTTTAGTTTTACAATAGTTATTATTACACAAATGAAGCATTCATTTCATTTGATACACCTCTTGAAGAGCCATCTTGTTATCAAAAATCTTTTTATACTGTACTGTCAAATTAAGTTTAAAAAATGAAAAATAAGTTTGAAAAGTTTTTTTCAATAATTGTTTCACCAGGAATGATGTATACCATTTTTCCTATTACGGTAATTTCTTCATGATAAAAAAAGAAAAAGAATCTTGGATGTCATAATTCCATCTTTCTATACATTTTATTTTTATCACAGTCTGAAGATTACAAA